ATTGAAGCAAGCAACACTGCTATTATTACATGAGTTGTACTTAGACCGAACGCAGATATACACTGATGGGTCCGTCTCGTCCAGCAGCTCATCAGGTGCCGCTGTAATTCCGGCTGCAGCAATGACAATCAAGTTTAAGTTGTCGCATATGACTATATCTATACGGCATCAAAGCTTGCTGCTATAAGGGCTGCTTTACAATATCTCGTTCAAGAACGTCCAAGAAAATGGGTCATATTCTGCGATTCGAAGGCAGCGCTTCAGAGTTTGCAGTCTGCCATGCGTAGGAGGAGTCATGACCAATTGGTACAAGAAATAAGACATTGCCATCATGAAGCTCTAGCACGAGGGCATGATATTATATATCAATGGCTGCCTGGACATATCGGTATTACCGGAAATCAATTAGCCGATGATGCTGCCCGCTCAGCCCATGAAGAAACCCGTGTAGTCCCGATTCCTCTATCAAGGAATGATGCAGCAAGACAACTTTACCTGCTGGCTCGAGATCTCACACGCACGTTCTGGTCGTCTACCAGCTTCCAAAGGTGCCAATTTTATGAACTGGATCCTTCGCTCAAGCTAAAGCTGCCATCACAACTTTCCCGCTCCGATGCGACACTGTTATGCCGCCTTTGGTTGGGTGTTGCATTTACAAAGGTGTACTCCTTTCGCATTGGTATGGCAGATACTCCTACATGCGACTACTGCGGAGCTGAAGAGACCATCGAACACGTCCTGTGCAGCTGCGCTTGCTACGACACACAGCGATGCCAGCTCCGGATGGTTTTGAATCAACTTGACCCCGGACCATTTTGTGTGCAGAAGATACTAGGACCTTGGGCATCTGCCTCAGTTGCGCAGAAAGCAACTAAAGCACTGCTACTTTACCTAAAGTCAACAAACCTGAGCGACCGCCTATAGACTGTGTGTGCTCCCCGAGTGTGCTCGTGATTGTGTGTACCTTCTCATCTTTCTGCAACCTCTTTTCTCCCCTTTATCCCTTCCCCAGTGCAGGGTAACAAACCGGATGTGCGTCTGGTTAACCTCCCTGCCTTTCCTTGCATCTTTATCTCTCTCTCTCTCTCACTTATTGCAGAAAAGGGCACTGCTATATACTGCAGATGTCCCACGCGGTATTTCTACAAATGCTTCATTCTATCACTATGAAATAATCATTATGAAACACATGTAGAATGTCCGACTAATTTATAGCTACTTTTTTGCAAAGAACAATCACGAACGTGTATTAAAGACTATCAAACAAATATACACAACACTCGCATTCACGAACCCAAAGCGCTTAAGTGGCTCGTTCCTCATCCTCGCACCATTTGCTCCACTGATACACAATACCATCCCTATTTAATATTATGTAGATAATGACCCTAATTTTTTTAAGTTTACAGAAAGAGAAACGCAGGAATATTTTTCATCCTTGCCTAGTGTCTTTTTTCTAGCGTATACTGTATAAAGACCCCCAGAATGAAATCAAATGTTACCCTTTGCATCGCGTTCTTTTTTTATCACGTTTATTATTATTATTATTATATTATTATTATTATTATTATTATTATTATTATTATTATTATTATTATTATTATAGTACATGGGCTGAGTGACCCCAGTGTCAGGAACCGCCGACTACACAAATTGGACCCATCGAGAAAACTTCAAGTTCTATCGGACCTCTCCCGCCAGGATGCAACTTTACTGTGCCGCCTGTGGTTAGGAGTAGCTTTTACAAAGGCGTACTCTTTTCGCATAGGAATGGCGGATAGCTCCCGGTGTTACTCGTGTGACACTGACGAGACAATAGAACATCTACTGTGTTCATGTGAACGTTTTGCGAGCGAACGCAACTTGCTACGCGAAACGTTAGAGACGCTAGACAGTAGACCTTTTTCCGAAGAGAAGATACTTGGTTCATGGCTCTACGCGCCGCTGGCCAGCAAAGCGACGCGGGCATTGCTAAGTTTTCTAAAGACGACCGGACTACGCGACCGCCTATAAGCGTGCAATGGACAAGGTCACATCTACACACACGTTGCCCTTCACTTCTCTCTCTCTTCTCCTTTAATCCCCTCACCCCTTCCCCCAGTGCAGAGTAGCAAACCAGACGTGCGTCTGGTTGACCTCCCTGCCTTTCATTTCTTCCCTTCCTCCTCCTCCTCCTTATTTTATTATCGTTCACTGTATTCATGAACTCACATATATATAGTACATGGGTATTTAGTTTGTTCTGCGTGTATTTGCATTGCTCTGTTCGTACAGTATTCAAATTTTTTTTTCTGTTCTTTTTCTCTGCTTTCATTGCAAGTTATTTGTTAAGAGCATTTATTTTGAAAGTGCTTCCTTGTATGTGAGCCTTCAGGCACTCTCGAGTGGTTTCATAAGCGCTTTTCGAGGGACACCCAACTTGATGTAAGGCAAAGATTTCACTTGATTGAAGTAGAAGGTAATCGTAAGGAACTCGCGGTCATGAGTTTCTGCATATGAAAGCGGACACGTTTAGGCCGAATTAAGTGGCACACAATTATTTGTTCACTTTATCTGATAAATTCTGTAAAGAGAGCGTAATTCCGACTGTTATTTTTCCTCACACGAGATAGAACTAGCCGCTTGTGCACCAGGGATGGGGTCCTCAGGACATGTGAGGGGCGAAACAGACATCAGTCATTCGTCAATTCGACTGCTACCACGCGTGTCGATTGATTTGACAAGGAACTAACAACGGAAGAAGGTATTTCGGGGTAGCTTAACTTGGACCACCAGTGATGGTGAAAGCGTTCATTTCATCTAGATATTAAACCTGTCCATTTTTACTGTTGACCACCTGGGAATCGATAGGGGAAATTTAAAACTACGTGGACGAAGATATCTAAGGTATCCTGGAAGAGATTCTTCAGGTATGAAGTAGAGACGTTCTCACTTCATTTGATGTATTCGTATAGCCTAATATTTTCAAATAGGGAGTAGTGCTATCAAGCATGCAAAGGACGAATTTGGAGAAAATGAAGGGGAATCAATTGAAGAACCCTTTTTGTTCCATCTCGTCACTTCAACAGCCGCGCCTTGCGAGAAGTTAGGTTGAGGAATGTTTGCTGCGTAAACTGCTGAGCGACAGTAGGTGTCCATATTAAAAGAGGGGAGAAATGGGCACTAATTTATTAAGCGTGTAAAGATGCCAGCCACAGTGACCTGACTTTGGCAACTTCTACCCAAAACGGCACGTGCCATTAACCTTCACCCACTGCGAAAGTTGGGTTAAACCTTGATGCGTTTTCCTGGCCGAAATGAAAAGGAAAGTGCGAGAGGGAGGATCTTGCGTAATCTCGGCGGACGCGCATGTCAGGGCAGCGGCCGTCCAGCTTGGTGCGTGCCGCGGAGGCGTCGCGTATCATTAACGATCGCTCAGATGCGCCGGCGCGCCACGGGCGGCATCAAAGGCGCGCTGCAGGGAAGCGACAGAGTGGCTCCAGCTCGAACGCGAGCACCAAAGACGAGCCGCTGGAGCGGCCAATAAGCTCGGGACGTTCGCTAATCGCGCCTTAGCGCAAGCCAACTGCACAGCGTCATTGGTCGATCCAGCGCGCTTCCCATTGGCGGTTGGCCCGGTAGTAGAGAGCGGGGGGAGCAGTCGAGCGATGCAGGCGTTTTTATTTATAAAGCTTCCCGCGTCGGTTTTGCTCTGCTTTTACGTGTTGTGAAGCGGTTTGGCAGGGCCCGGTGGGCGAGGGCGACGGCGGAAGGAAAGAGGGGGGCACCACTTCCTTCACCTGCCTCTCTGGGACCTTCAAAGAGCACTGCGCGTGGTGCTTGCGGCCAGACTCGCTTGCGCGCTTCGTGTCGGTAGGTTCGCCCTGTTGCGGTCTTGATGACGACACGGAGGCCGCTGCTGTAGACGACGCACGCTGCCAGACTCGGATTACCCGCCTTCACCGCGCTCAAACTTAACAAGATGCCGCGTTCGTTTCTCATCAAGAAGCACGTCAACGCGGGAGCTACGGCCTTGCCGCGGCCTGTAGCCGTCGTCAAGAGGCCCTGGCTCGACGACAGCTCGCACGAAGCCGAGGATCTCAGCACGTCACCCCCACCAGTAGTGCGGGTTCCTCTGGCCTTGTCACCGGCGCTCTCCGACAGCTGCGTTCCAGGTAGGGTATTTTACCTCCCTGTTTCTAGCTGTGCTTAAACCTATTCGCGTTTTAAAAACCTCTTGCAATGTGCGGATCTGGGAGGCCCTCGTTGAGTTGTGCGTTCTGACCATGCATACACTCGGCGATGGTCTCTTTCTAAAGGTCGAGACTAGTGGTAACGCTGGTGCTGCTATTAGTAAAGGATCAGGTATAGGTATTATTGCTGTCTACTCACAAAATGACCGTTACGCAAGCTTGGTTTGCCGACTGTGACCGACAGTCACAGACGGCAGCTCCGCCGCAAGACATCAAAAGGTAGAAGAGAAGCATGCACTAGATAAGTGGTCGGCACATTTGTAGTTGTCTATAAATCACGGCAGTGTTTGCGCACCACGATGGTGCCGCGCTTTTGACAAGCAGGTGTCCGATAACATGGGCTGCGAACTACAGCGCAAAGACAACTGTCTGTAGCGGAGTTGTTCGATAAGCTGCCGTCGAAAACAGGCTTGCACCTGGTTTTAGCGGTTGTTTGTTTATCGATGAAAGGCAATGCGCGACTGCTGCGGTTCTGTCACTCTGCATCTGTGACAAGTGAGATATCCTACAATCGAACACGATAATGTAAACACTGGATCGCAAAATCCAAGTATTCCTTCCAGCTGCTAAAACAAAGATAAACGTTTATGCGTGCTTTGAGTTCGTTGGCAAGCTGATATTTAGAAGTGCTGTTTTTCTGTGCATAGATTCTTATAATACTCTGAGCAGCGCCGCATCTGCCTATCAGGGCCGATGCGACACTGCCAGATGGTATCGGTAAAGAATGTGCACGAGCTGATGAAAGCACCATCTCTTTCCAGATATCGCGCGGCCATTCGACCTCAGCCTAAAGGCGAAAAGATCGAGCGTGAGGTCCGAGTACCCATCCATTCACCGGCCAGTGGCCATCACACCACCACCAGGGGTGGCGCTCATCGCTCCCAAGGGTGACCGACCCCTGGACTGGCCGCACCAGCCGGCGTACCTGCCCCACGGCTACATGCCGCTCACGCTCTACCCCATGCCAGCCGCAAGCGACTACTACGCGCCCCTGATTCCTCCTCCTTTGGTGGCCAGCCATCCGATGACGCCACGCGAGCTGGCCAAGCAGAGCCCACCCCAGCGAGACGCCGTGGTTCCCTCGTGGTCATCTGGCGTCTCATCTTCCTCTTCGGACGAAAAGGAGTCGCGTGGCTCCCCAGTTCCCTCAGAGCGACCCCGGAGGCGGCCCGAGAACGCGCCACGCTACCCTTGCACCGGCTGCAACCGCAGCTACTCCACCTACAGCGGCCTGTCAAAGCACCGGCAGTTCCACTGCTCCGCCACCACGAGCAAGTCCTTCTCGTGCAAATATTGCGAGAAGGACTACTCATCCCTGGGCGCACTCAAGATGCACATCCGCACGCACACGCTTCCCTGCAAGTGCAAGCTGTGCGGCAAAGCCTTCTCGCGACCCTGGCTTCTTCAGGGCCACATCCGGACGCACACCGGGGAGAAGCCATTCGCCTGCCCGCACTGCAGCCGAGCCTTCGCCGACCGCTCAAACCTGCGCGCCCACTTGCAGACGCATTCGGACATTAAGAAGTACAGCTGCAAGTCGTGCAGTCGTACCTTCTCGCGCATGTCCCTGTTGCTCAAGCATGAAGACGGTGGCTGCCCCGCCGCAGCGCTCAACCGCAGTCAGCCTAAGCCGTAGGTGCGTTCCGTAGGGGTATTATTTATAACATGTACAGACTCTAGTCGCGTCCTGTTCGCAGGCTTTAAACAGCAGAAACGGCCCGGCACGTTCCATGTCACTGGTCGTCTCGTATTTATTTGAAAACATTCTTTCCTTCACTACCAGTCTCGTTTCCTGGTTCTCTCGCGTAGCGCGAGAGTAACTGCCATCCATTGCCAAAGATTGTTTCCATCAGAACAGCTCGTCAGCAAGTTCACACTATTCGCGTACGGAGCAATTAGGCAACCACGTTCGCTGACAAAAAAGCTTAAGGCCTGCCGAGTAGCTTCATGGCAGTTTTCTTTGGCCACTCAGGCTTGGTAAATGAATATCCACCAAGAACGATTTCGCACGCACAAGTTTCCTCAAAGAAAGCGCATTACTTTTTGTTCGTCCCTTTTGTCAGTCAAGCTCAAACATGCCAGCGCTTTAATTTAACGATGCTTGTTACAATTTAATTTATAAAGTTTTCTGCGCCCGAAAACGTTGTGTCACTTGTCGGCTAAAATGCTCGTTGCCACGATCCGCCATCGCCTGTTTTTGGCGTAGCAACTGCTTCGCGGATACGGGCCCAAGTGGTCGAATTCACGAATGCTTTAGTTCGCAAGAACTAGTTCACTGTTCGCGTACACTGATATGCTTCCCTCCAAATTCGGTCAGTGGCTACTAATTGGTGTAAATCTAGCTCACGAATCCCCTTGGGCGTACAGACCAAGCTGTCCCCGGGGGAGGCCTTGAGCGCTGAGGCTTAGCTGTACGGGCATTGTTCGTGTCTCAAAGTGCCATGTTTTTTTTTCTTCTTCTTTCTTGTACCTGGTTTGGAACGAGCGTAGGAAGGGCACATTAAGGCATTTCCTGTTTGTAGGTGCATTATAGCTCCTGTTCTCTGTTTGTGCCTCGCATCTATCAGATTGAGAATGGAGCAGCTTTAGCACCGATTTGCCATCTTTTTTGTCTTTTCTTATCTCAGTGAAAGTAAGAGCTCACTTCAAACTGTACATACAATATGCTCACCCATATTTTGTCATCCGGTAAGGACTAGTCATGAATTTTCGTTTTGTAATTTTGAAACATAAACACGACACGATATCCTTCCTCCCGTAAGGGAATCAGCCTTCTCATTATCATATGCCTGTGGCGGAGCACTGTTGCCATTTCCATTGTACCGTGCACCGTCACGACAGTTGCCATTACAAGTTATGACTGTTGACACAGCACCCAGAGTGACTTCCGTGTGTGTGTGTTTGTTACACAGATTTGTTGATTGCTCTCGAGGAAAAAAAAAATGTCATGTTCATATTGCCATACAGCTTGAAAAAAGCAATAAACTACTTTTTAACTTTACAACCTTGTCGACATTTGTGCTCAAGTCATTTACTTCGCCTAATCACGAAGACCACTTCAAGGAGACGATCATTGCCTTCTGTAGCGCTTCTGACTCGTTGTCTTGCGGAAGTACAGGCGGGCCAAATCGAGGACAAGAAGATACCCGCCAGACAAACAGTTATGTGTGCTTATACTTGTGTTATGCGTCCCTCCGTTCGTGCGCACTTTCCTAAGGTTATCATCATTAACTAATAACAATCCAGCCTGGCCACAATGGTTCGCATCTTCTGATGCCTCTTGATTATGGAAAGGATTCATGTTTAGAAATGCACTGGCGCATTGTACGGAGTCAAACACATCTGTGCTGAGGGCAGGGAGAAAACAAGACAATGCAGAGCCTAAGCGTGCGTTCTGGTTAACGCTAAAGCCCACATTTCCTCCACCACATCGTTTCGCATAACTGAAGGGTTGTTTAACGACGCATAACTTGCGCTGTTGATAGATGCACTCAGCGACAATAAGGGGGCCCTGTATAGGCCAGTGAACAATGCAGTTGACACACGGATGCGAAATAAGTGGATTTGAGGTAAGGCCTCCCGGTATTTCTGTGTCGTAATCGATTCCACGAAACTTGTTATACCTTGCGCGGTGTGACTATCGGGAGAGCTTTATGTCTAGACAACGTTATCCTGCAGACAGTCTTCCTTGCATAGCGATTCGCCTTGCTACAAGTGAATGTTTTTTTCCATAACTTACGTGCACAACAGCAAAACAACCTTATTGAGCTCGACAATTGATAAATTTATGAGGCTAAATTCTCTTAACTTCCAGTTCATAAGGGGTTTTTGGTCATCCAGCTTGACTAATGATATTCCAAGTATCACAATTGGCTAATATTGTCCGCTACGAATAATTGTGCCGTAAGAGTTCTTTCGATCGCGAACACAGGTCCTGGGGCTGACGAAAACGGAATACGACGTAGAGTATACTTGTACGTCGCTCTTCAGCTGCTTTTTCTACATGCAACCGTTCTAAAACGGTGAGGGCGAATGAAACGGGGCACAGCTTGCCGAAAGTGAGCCTAAACAATGCCTATGTTTATGGCGTCACGCGAACGCTCACTATATTACCTGCCCAAGACATCGAAAGGCAAATTCTCTGCAAAGCTGAGTCCGATGGTGTTTGGGTTAGCCACACCTTGAAGTGCGGAACTGAAATAAAAGTGAGACAGTGCGTAGTAACATTCGTTTGATGACAGTGACACGCAAAGCAAAAGACTAATTCCCCACGACCCCAAAAACTTCAGCATGACTAAGTGGTATTGTTAACAACCATTTTACCATTTAGTTAAAAAAAAACAGAATGAGGAAAATTTGCTGTTTACTTGTGCTTTCCCGGCATAGTATGAATTTAAGACATCAATTGTGACAAAATCATCTTCTAATAAAACGATCACAAATTGATGAGCAAAAATTCAAGCAAAATTTCTTATCGTGAAAATCATTCCCCACATATATTTACTTCGTAATAGCTTTTAAAAGTGATGACCAGGTATATATTAAAATTGAGGTCTACTCACTTCTATTTCTATATTATTGACAGTAATGCCCAACAATAATTTCTAATGACAAGCACCATTTTTAATGCAGAGACGCATGACAAATACACGGCAAAGGAAACGTTTGAACGCGTGACCAACGCTTTTTACTAGTCGCTTCATCACCATGGCAATGCAGTAAAGCTCACCAAAATACTGCGTCGTTAGATATGGTACTAAATGTCTCCTTACGCTAAGACTGTTTATATAGGAGCACATCCGCGTCACTTGTGCACGACACCAGAGACGTTATTAGTGAACGCGGCCGGGCGAAGACATACCGGACTTCTGAATAATGGCTTTGCGAATTCGGCCCCAGTTCTGCATACGAAGATAGTTTAAGAAAATATATGGAGACATTCCACGACCAGAGCCCTCAAACAGCGAGAGAGGTCCGTGGACGCGCGGTGTGGACTGGGACAGCGCCTCCGATGCACCGAGACGCCGATGGGGAGCCACAAATAGCAAGGCGCCCCACAAAGGACCCGGGCCCGCGGGAAATGGAAGGAGGCGTCGAATCTTGAACGACAGTCTTCGCAGGTAGCTGAACGAATGGTCTGAACGGATGATAGGTGCGCAGGGACACAAAAGGACCTCTGGCGCCGCGCGGCAGGTTGCCGGCTGGCCGAAAAACCTGCGTGGTCATCGGCCGCCGGCTGCATTGTGCCATGGGCTTCCCTTCGAGCTCGGAACCTTTTGTGGACGCGCTTTTTCAGAGCGCGCCCTGATTTTTACCTGTCTTCATATATACCGACGCGTCCGGTCCTTCGTCGCCACCTTCTGCGTGTGCGCCTGGGAAAGCGTCGTCGCCTCTCCTCCTCCGCAACCGGGCGGACGCTAAACGGCTTCTATCACACCCTAATTCAGCAAGTTTCGCATTCCTCTTTCTCTCTTCCTGGTGCGTACAGTAAGATGAATGCGTCGACGAAAAAAAGAAAAAGAAACAAACAAAAAAGCGAATTCTCCGTTTTACGTCTCCAAGCACATTTTCACATACGCAATAAGTGCAGTGTGTGCACTTGCGTTAACCCCCCCCCCCCCTCTCCAGCCCTGGCGATACAAATTTATGCGGGCCAGTGCTGTCGATCGCGCAGACACTGCACCCATTCCCTCCATTTGGCGTGGTATTTTATACTGCCCAAGATTACGTACATCCACAGTTAACGTATGTAACACTGCGCTGCAGGGCATGCGTGCGCTGGGGCAGAGTGTCATTAGAGGGGTTCACACGGTTATTAAACGCCATGGAGATTGAACTCTTCGAGGGCTATTCAACAGCAGTCGCTTTCAGGCATGGAACCTAATTGTCGAAGAGTTGTCGCTCCCTCCTTCGCCCGCGTAAATGACATTTAGTAGTAGCGACCCTCCGTCAGATGAAGAGCTTTATCTCCCCTGAATGACCATCAAAAGAACCATCTATAGTCGCACCTTGCTGCGCATTTTGCTGAAGTACAGTGCACACGGTTCAAAACGCGAAAATGTAGGCCTAAGTAATGCACGCACTTCGTTTCCAGCGCATGCAATTGGTGTCATATTGGCGTAATTTTCACTCGAACGCTTACATCGGAGCCAATATACATTACACTGCAAACCTGGCTCGAAGAAGCCAGGTTTGCAGTGGCATGACACGATTATCACGGTTAATAGCCGTCGTCATGCCAAAATTGGAATCACATTGCACTTCAATCTATGAGTACTGTAAATGTACTACAGACACGAAAGCGTCTGAACCGATGCTCACGCACAAGGTGATGTCGACGGTCATAATGAATACACACAATGCAAATATTTTAGAGCACAACATATGCTTACAGTAATATTCCTTGTTCGTGAACGCACTAAATGTTTCATGCATAGGACATGAACGATCTGCCACTGTTGTGACAGTAATAAAATGCTGAGTGAAGTGACACCATGCGATTATTGACGGTTAAGGTGCATCAGTGAAGAAATTTTACAAATTAGTTACGTGTGTGAACCAGAGTCCACAGCAAGACTATCGCCGAAAGATTGTACTAGGCAATGCAGCGGGTTTCATCGCTACACCACAACAAACATTTCTTCAGATGTAATGGTATACCATCACTT